ACTTTGTGAGATTTATGCCATGGAATTGAGTTTGAATTGTTAGTAATAGCATCATTAGTTAGTCATTAAACATCCCAAGTCAATTGCTTTGCCCAAAACCCATGCTTTCCCATATTTGATCAAGCTTTTAGTTGTTGATTTTACGGTTGACTTTTTGCATTTGATATTGTTTATGCTTAATCATGGTTTGCTTAGGTCTTGTTTAGTTTCTTTTTAGCATTATAGTCTTGTTTATCTTCATTTACATTCTCATTTGTTTGTTTCACTTAGTTGCATCGTTAGGACTTTGAAGAAAAAACTAAAAACATCATTTAGCTTAGATTAATCAATTGCTTGCATTCTTAGTGTGTTATTCTAACTCTTTGTGGATCGGTACCCTAGTTACTACTCGATTGCTTGCACTTGGGCTTAGTAATTTCGGATTTTAAAACTTTTATCACAACAGTCCTCTCTCCATGCTGCATCAGTTTGGCACTCAACCATCCAACTCTCTTCTTCTATCAACCCACTGTTTGGTTGCTTTAACTTCTTGGTTTTATAAATTTGACTATCTTGCCACTCACGAGTTTCTTTGATAGTCTTTGACACCACTTTTGAGGCTATAGTTTCTTTGTTGTTAAAAACTACATCATTTCTAGCAATCCAAAGGTTCCAACATAACCATGGTGCTAAGGATTCTTTCCAATGTCCGTAGGGGGTAGACAATCCAGCTTCTTTACCACTCTCAACAAGTCTTCAAACCCAAGCAAAGGGGAAATTTGTAGTTCAGATCGAAAATGGGCTTTTTCCCATACTTGTTGTGCAAATCCACACTGACATAAGAGATGAGAAACCGATTCTGCAGCTCCACATCGAGGCCATGGCACAATGAGATGTTGGATCCTTTATGATAAGTTTGCATCCATAGACAAAGCACCACTAGTTGTTCCTCTGGAAAGCAGCTAGTGGTGCGGGTGCAAATTTATCCCAAATTTTATTCTTAAAAGTACATTTTATGGTGAATTGC